GGTTGTCAGACCGATATAGACATTATCATAGGGTGTGCATTCTTATAGAAGATTTTACCTTCTCTATTGAGGTCTGCATCTATTGTTATTCTCTCCTGCATCACATTGAAGAAATCACACGATAAAATGTCGTCCAGTCTGAAATCTCGTTTGATATCGAACGTCTCAGAGAGGGCCTTCCCAATTCTGACTGCGCTTATGGTGTTGCTTAAGGCCAATTTACACAGCCGTTTAAGTTTTAAGGGAATTCCAAATTCGGACATAGCGGCGTATAAGCAGCTCCTATTCGTGCTGTTGAAGATTTGGCGCTCGACTAAACCTTATATGCGATATTAATGATACGCTCGACTAAACCTTATATGCGATATTAATGAGGCTTATTCCACAGTAATTGGCGCAGACTGTAAGATCGTCATTTTCGTTAATTGGATAGAGCATACTTAAATTCCAATCGTCTCGCATGCTTCCCTCCGTCAATATTTTGTAAACAAGCTGATGCATGTAGGCCGTCAGCTATAGCCGCTGGCGATTGCTATTCGAACTTCTTCATGGTCAGGTAATAGAACGTCTTTTCCATCGTCGTCGATTGGGGTTTCGGGATTCTTAATTTTTGTTGCTATTCAGCGGTTGGAAAAGTGTTCCCTCCATAAATTCAATGTCCTCTGGGCATTGGTTACTAGATCACCTCCTTGTGTCCTACAGGAGTCTGCTCTACTCGAGCATTACCCTGTTCTGCCAGCCTCCTAAGCTTATATTATTCACGCATCTCGGCCTCTATCTTTTCTGTCTGCAGATGCGTCCTGCTTCCCTCTTAAGTTTTTGGTATATATCCCATCCCGAACGTGTCGAGGTCAATTGCAGAGTTATAAGGTAGGCAGTCTGTTTTCTCTTCACTGCGACACGGCAGTCCTGATCGCTGTTTTTGCCAAATCCAATAGTTTCGTTTGGAGCTGTTCGTAGAAAGCTTAAAATGCCATCTCATAGCTCCCGTATTCCAAGTTGCGATGAGGAGTCCTCTCAATAAGTAAGAGTGCAAGTCGAGTAGAAAATCGTTCAACAGTCTGTTGTGATTGCAGCTTTTCGACGACGAACTTTCCTTGTGTTTTTGGACGGGCATTCCTTGATACACAGAAGAGTATGCGTATCTCCGCTGCAATAAGATAGTGGCTCGAGTCGACATTGGGTCTTCGGAGTGTACGCACGTCAAGAACACTGGATACATGTCCTCCGTCTAACACAACATGATCGATCTGGTTTTTGAGTTCTTCGATCAGGGAACAGACAAGACACTTGTTGGACAGCGGTGATGTCAGTCTTTATTCTTCAACCAGCTGGGCAGAAGCACCTTCCCAATTAAGGGACCGGACATTCCGGGTGCATTAGCCGTAACCAAAGGCTCCTCACGGGTTGGATACCGCATCTTGCAGAATGGTTGCTTACGTTTCGAGGGTGAGTGACGTAAACGCAGGAATTATATTTGAGAATAGATTCGCAACTGTAACAGCATACCCAGAGGTTTGATTACATCCCAAAACTCCCTAAACTTCTTCTCTGAGTCTTGCTTAAAAGCTCTAAGTCGAGTATGCGAGGAAAGCGCAAGCCGCGTTGGTGGTCGATATAGTAGGACACTCCTGAGGTCAGGTAGGAAGCTCTTCAATAAAGCTAAGGCTATCTGAAGACTCTCCCTAGAAAGCATGTAAAGACGTGGTCGCTATTAACGCAAACGGAATGGGGTGGATGCACAGCTATTGCCTACGCAAATAATTTTGCCATTGCATATAAAGTCAAGTTCCGACAAGCTCTCTGTGACTTGATGCAGTGAAAACTAAGAAAGTATCGTCCTGGACTACGTAATGTAGTCTCTGTGCAACTCAAACAAAGTAAGTGCTATTTACGAGAAGATAAAAGATTCTCGCTATCAAACTACCAGTACTGCACGGCGTTTAACTTAGCATGGGCTCAAAAGCTAAACTTCTAGGTGAAAAATAACATTAAAATGAAATGGAAAAATGAACTAATGAAAGATAATATTATTCAAAGATACGAGGCGGCTGCTTTTGGCCTCTTCCATTCGAAAGAGTAACAGGTAATAATGTGGTCTAAGACCCATGATTTGTGTGATCGTGTGTGGCCAGCTTTACACAAAGCTTCAAATGTGAATTTCATAGATAAGGTTCAAAGAAGTAAGTTAATGTGTATCAGTGCTGCACTAAGGAGCAAAGCTCTAAAAGTAATACTCAATATCTTGCCACTGGACTTGGTAGTTTATAGTATATCCTTAAACCAGTGAAAAATCTAAATAAGCCTTGGATGAGAGGCCCCCTTTTGATGACGAGCACCGCAAATATTTTAAGGATTACGATTTGAGTACATGCAGCTGGAATTTCCAGTCTTTATTTGGGAAGGAAGAGAAGGACGAATGGCGAAAGATGCTTTTAACAAGCGCATAGCGCACACTTATGAGCGCTGTCTCCGCCACGACGTCTAAATTGTGCTTTGTGACTTCAACGCGGAAAGTAACTTTGGTACACCTGTTGGAAAATTCAGCCTTCACAACGAAACATCCCTAAAATGGCTGAGACTGATCGAATTCGCCGGTGACCGAAATATGGTTGTCTACAGTCGTAGATAACTTCGTTTATTTTGGAACCGTTACCACCAACAACAATGTCAGCCTGGAGATTTAACGCATACACGTAGTCAATCTTGCCAACTGGCGCTACTTTGGACTGAGTAGGCAATTGAAAAGTAAAGTCATCTCTCGGGGAACGAAAACTAAACTCTTCAAATCGCTTGTCATACCCGTCCTATTATATGATGAGTAGGAGTGGATGATATCAATATATGACTAGCCGGCTCTAGGAGTCTTCAAGAAAACAGTTTTGCGTAAAATTTATGGTTCTTCACGTATTCGCAACGGCAAATTTCGCAGATGATGGAGCGATGAGTTGTACAAGTTATACGATGATATTGACATGATTCAGCATATGAAGAGACCGCGGCTACGATGGCTAGGTCATATCGTCCGAATAGATAAAACTACTCTAACTTTGAAAGTATTCGATGCAGTACCCGCTGGTGTTAGTAGGGTAAGAGGAAGACCTCTACTATGTTGGCAGGATCAGGTAGAGAGCGACCGGACTTCGTTTGGAATTTCCAGCTGGCGCCGAACAGCGAAAAGAAAAGATGAAAGGCGCCCTAATATTGATATGTCTATAATCGCGTAAGCGGTGCCAACGCCAATAAAAAAGAAGATGAAGAAGTATGCAATGTACTCGTATATATGAGGTCCATGTATTTCTTATACTGATTTACCTAATGTTTACACCAAGGTCCTTCTTTGAGTTTCTTTGCAATAAAACCACTCGCGTATTCAAATTAATGTGTGTACGAATGTTTTAATTAGGTGTTCTACAAAAATTGTTTAAAACTTTCGTTTGTAGATATAGGTACATACAATGAATATAATATATAATTGGGGTATAAATTAGTTTCATGCAATTTTTTCGCGTGGTGCGTGCTTCCCGATTGGAAATCTTATCGATAGTTGGTTTTCCACTTCTTATATAATATATGTTGCATCAGGGTGAACGCAGTTGATTTAGTGGCTAACATCTTTAAACACACGCTTAAATGCATAAAATTTGTCTCATTCTTGCAAAGAAATAGTACTTTTCTTGATGTCGATTACTTTATTCAAAGAACTGTTCATTTAATTTGTCCAATTTTGAAACAAATTTAAACAAATTCACTTCGTATGGCTAATCTTCTTATGTTTTCTGGCGACGTTGGCAGCGCCAAGGGGAGGTTGCAAATGGTGTGAATTGGTGTGCATTCACTTCTTATTATTTTTAGTAAGTTTATATCCATATTATTTTACAAAATAAATTATTTAATTTTACGAGATCAATTAATGAATACATGCTCCCTATTTGTTGAAATAGAATCCTTTAAATTTATAAGAGACTATTTGCTTTCAAGTAACTCCTTTTTGGTGATAAAGTTTTAACATTTGCCTTTTATGTATGTTAATAAAACACTAAATCATTCAGATGACCGCCGCGCGAACTCTTGAAAACTTCAATCCATTTGAAGCAAGTTTCGACCATTTTTCGGCACATACTGGGAGCTAACTTATCTATTTCTTGACGAATGTTTATTTTCAAATGCTCAAAACTTAAAGACCGGGTAATAACGATCTTTCGCGTAGTCCCAAACGATTTTAAATCACACGATCTCGGCGACCAATTGTCATCGTCAAGACGAGAGCTTACGTGTTCGGAAAATTTCTGTCATAATAAAGCCTCATTATTCACTCGTGTTGAGTGGCAATATCTGTAACTTACCCACCCTCTTCGAATTTCTTTCAAATTAAAGCAATTGCTTGAGTAATTGGAACATTATCTGCACCATAACTCCCTTAAAGCTCGAAATTTGTCCACATTTGAATCAGCATTTCTGTAGCGGATTTGGACAATTTTCATGCTTATGCGGTTGTTAAGTGATCCATTTTCTTCAATGGCTCATATTTTAAGTAAACTTAATCTAAACAATTTAGTTTGAGATATGCCGAATATTTAGCAATGTATATATGAAACCACGATCTCAATAACCCATGTATGTATGTAAGTATTACGAGTTCAATAATATAGGAGTCAACCATCATAACCAATGTCACGCAACAAAAGTTAAATTTAAAAAAAAAAAACAATTTTCATTCCTGACTGAGCTGGCCAATCCATCACTTTGATAAAGATTTCTTGGAATGCTTCGGGTCATCTGCTGATATACCCATCAAAACGGCATATTGTCTGCAGAATATGGCGATACAGTACCCTCAAGAATTTGTATGTATAGAAATTGATACACCGGCAAAGGGATACAGGCATATGTATAGTTTATATTAAATTGATTCAATAAGTCTTCTTCTTTTTTATATATACTAGCGCCATCCTTCCTCTTCGCTGTTTGGCACCAGTTGGAAATACCAAGTAAAACGATGTCACTTTCCACCTGATCCTTTAAACGGAGTGAAGGTCTTCCTCTTCCTTTACTTCCACCAGCGAGCACTGCAGAAAATGCTTTCGAAGCTAGAGTGACTGCATCCATTCGGACGACATGCCGTTCACACTCTTCAGGCCAATTGAACTTTCGTTAAATCGATGAGAGGCTTTACGTTTTTCGGTACCTCAATCCGAAGCATCGCCTTTACCTTCTCTAGGTCTACATGTAGACTGCACTGCAGACCGTTCTTGTCGAATCGTAGCCCAAATATTTTAGTTCGGACCGACAAATATTGAATTTGTTCCTATTTAATCTTAGTCTTGCCAGCAAATCTATCGAAAACAATCTTCAGACTGCAGTTACTTTTGCTTTGACTTGTCTGAGCGTCGATCCTCGAGTGTCTTCTACAATATTATACGCCTAATGCTCAGATTCATGGTCATAAAATCTGAGAAAGCTGGGGTGTCTGCACTAAGGTATGTAAGCAGAGGAGCCTCAAGGAGTGTAGGCTTCTCGCATCACCAGGGAGTAAAAAACTGCTAAATTATCAGCACCAACGCTCCCAGGAACGAACCAGAGCATTGCTGAGTCTGCAAAATACCTGGGTCTCATCCTGGACAGGACATTGAGCAGGTAACAAAATTCAAAAGAAAGAGTGCGTAAGGCGTACATTGCCTTCTATACCTGCAAAGTCCGATAGGCCTTGGCTGTATGTCACAGTTGTTAGGCCACACGTCTTTATGGGGTTATAGTTTGGTTGCCACCACTTGCGAAAAAAAATAATTATCTCTAAATTCGGTAGGGTACACAGGGCATGTACGGAGCACTTTGTACCATACCATCCGAGGCTATTAATGTCCTCTTGGATCTACTCCCCTTCACAGAATGGGACCACACAATGTCACCTTCGTCGCAGTAAGGCTACAAAAGGTGTCCGAATGGATAGTAATAAGCCACAGGCATACAAACATCTTAAGATGATTTCGTCTTCCAGAAAAAACGGATTATTTCTTATCATCCACTGACTACACGGCAGATTTCAAGATGGTTATCCAAGATAGAAACCTATGGAACAGAATAATACCAGCAAGCGCCGGGCCGATTTATTTTTATACATATGTAAATCCTTTCGCTTACCGGATCACCGTATTGTGGTGGTTATACTCGAGGCTGTCAACTGTCTCAGCTCAAGGGTACTCTCGGACGATCCTATCCATATCATTTCGGATAGCACAAGAGGTGAGAAAAAAATGGGTTCGGCCTAGCATTGTCGGGAACACCTTATTTATAAATTGATCTAATGCACTAGACTATCTATCACCTTACAACGAGTGGGCCACTATTGCAACCAACGGTTTTGGTTCCGGCCGAAAAATTACCACATCATTTTCGATATATCCGGGATAATACCCGCCTTGCCCAAAAATCGATGCCAGGGCCTACGACTCGAGGTAACTCGGGAACCACAACGCATTCCAGGACAACCGACCTGCCCTCCACCTCGATCACTCGAACGACAATTCCCTATTCTGTCACCCGATCCGCTTCAAGGCCCAAGCCTATAACAACTGAAGCACTCAATCTCCTTCTTGCAGTCTGCTGAAACGATGCCAAATGCCAGCAATTAAATTATCGGGTGTTTGAGTCCGGTCTGAAACTATCTGGCCAGCTCCGCTACTGCCGCGACCTCCACACCAGTCAAGTCAGCTTCCAACAAACCTCTGGTCTTATGACTAAGAGAAAGGACAAACCAGTGTTGACCTCACTGGCTCGAGTCGCCTACCCAAAGCAACTGTAGTGTGACCACTTCCAGCTGGGTGGACGTCCCATTTCGGAGCTCTCCGGTCTCTGAGACTGGAATGCCTTTTTATCCACGCATCGTACCTCCACGAGCGCTAGACCGTACCGATTTTCTCTTCGGCATCTTCACTGCCGGCTACTTCAAATTTTTTATTATTAAAATCACAACTTAAAAAAGCTATTATTTACTTATTTTACTGGCGTAGACACCGCTTACGCGATTATAGCCGAGTTAGCAACATTGCGCCAGTCGTTTCTTCATTTTGCCGTTTGGCGCCAATTGGAAACACCAATTACAGCCAAGTCCTACCTGGTCTTTCCAACGGAGTGGTGGTATTCATCTTCCCCTGATTCCACCGGCGGGTACTGCATCTAAAGCTTACAAAGCGGGAGTATTCTGCTGAACTATGTCAATGTCGCCGTATATATATTAAAGCTCATAATTTCATCGGCAGCGCTATGCCAGTACGAATTCGTAGAGGACCTAGATTAACGGAACGCAAAACTTTTGTCTAAAAAACTCCAAATGCCGACTAATGAGATGTTGTCATCTATGCTTCGGTCTGCTATATGGGACGGGAACGATGAGAGACTTGTAGAGCTTGGTTTTCGTTCGTAGGGAGAGAACTTGACTTTTCATTTGCCTACTCAGTCCAAAGTAGCAGCTGTTAGCGAGAGTAATTCGTGGCTGACATTGGTATTGGTGTTGATGCTGGTTCCTATATAGACGAAATTATCTACGACTTCAAAGTAATGACTGTCAACAGTGACTTAGGAGCCGAATGCATCTTGCGTCGTGAATACAATGACTGTTTGTGTAATGACCCATGTCCTTCGCTTTCTTATCCAGTCTGGAGAAAACTCACGGCGCGGTTGTTTCTGGCCAATAATATGGATATCAGTGGCTTACGCCAGCAGCCTTACATTCTTAGAGAAGATTGTACCACCTATATTCAACTCTGCAGCTCATATTATTTTCCCCAGTAATAAGTTAAAAAAGTCCCACGATAAGGAATCACCTCTGAAATCTCGTTGAGTGTCGAACACCTGGGAAAGGTCCTTGCCGATGCTGACGGTGCTTTTAGTGTTGCTTAACGTGAGTTTAAAAATATTAACGTTGTTTAAAATTTTACTTAATCTATACTTTTCCTATACGGCTTTCTACGGCATCATGAATTACAATGTTCGCTCTCCAATTATTAGTGTACTAAAGAGTTGACTACCTATTGGACATCGCAAGGTGTGGTAAACATGCAAACGTGCTATCGTTTGCTTCTTGGCAATATTTTTTAACACCTCATGATGCTATCTATGAGATCAAGTTTTATAATTTTGGTTCATCGTGATTTTACTGGTTAGTCTCATGACAATATTTGAAGCAGCACTAAAATATTTTACGGGAACCTTTAGTTTCGCAAAGTACAACTATTTTAAATCCCACTTTTTTGTTTTTTTTTTAGTTTTAACACTTTTAAAAGTTTCTAAGCGCCTTGCGATTCTTTACAACTGGATACTGCGAAGGTCCCGTCGGAGAGCGATGGGAAATATCCATAAGTCTGTCGTTAGTAAGCCGTTATATTCATCGAGTAACAGACACAATAAACCGCTCGCTGTTTTCTGCAAAGGTTAGATTTCCAGTGATGCAAAAAGAGCGACAAGCTGCAAAGGAAATGTCACAAAGAAGCGTATGTAAGCCACCATGGATTCATTCTATCAATATGCAAAAGGTGAGAGTACTACTATTGTAGAACCAAAGCTCATTATATTTTCACAAAGATTTGTTAAGGATTACATCTCAAGATTTTGTAGGTCAACGTTAAGTACCCAGGAGCACGCCACGATTCTTTTATTTGGAGCTCACCTATAGTGAGAAGAGTAACACAGCGTAGTTTTGACAGTGGAAGCCGTCATATGTTTTTGACTGATAAACTTTGAAAACCTTAGGAACTCACTTATTAAAAATAATTGTGAATCAATTAGGGCCGTGTTTAATGACTCCTCTTCCAAACCAACTACAAGGAAGCTATAATAGGCATTGTTTAAAGCGCGTAACCCAGTCGAGCGATACGTTCTCAAAGGAACTTGACGATGCCTATATCAACAAAGATTTCTTTTGTATAACGCTGGATTCCCTAATAGCATAGTGAATGCGTGCTGCACTCGACTCGGCTAACATATTTTGGAAAAAACGAAACGATAAAATAATTAAAACCTATACTAGCTGTGTTTGCAAATACAGAAATACTTACTTTAAAGGCATTCGCTTGTATTTGGGCAATTTCAATCTTCTACACGTATTCTCTTACTGCCTCTGAGTGGAGCTTTTGTGGCTTGAGTTGTACGAGTCTATGCATGCATCAAAAAATCGATACCATTTGAAAATGTACGCATCCCGATAATAATGCTTTCACCCTCTTCACCTTCCTCAAAGCGCAGTTGCAGTTCCTAGTATTGAGGATAATTTCAGTCTCTTATATTTAGCATTCGCATCCATACGGACTGCATGACCTAGCCTGCGTAGCCGCTGCCCTTTATTCGCTGAACTATGTTAATATCATTATGTAGCTCGTACAGCTCATCGTTCCATCGTCTGCGGTATCCGCCGTTGCCACCGCTCAAAGGACCATAAATCTTACGCAAAACCATTCTCTCGAAAACTCCTAACGCCGACTCATCAGATGTTGTCATCGTCCATGCTTCCGCACCATTTAGCAGGACAGGAACGATGAGGGACTTGTAGAGTTTGCTCTTAGATCGTCGGGATAGGGCTTTACTCTTCAATTACCTACTCAGTCCAAAGTAGCACTTCTTGGCAAGAGTGATTCCACGCCGGATTTCAGGGCTGAAGTTGCAACTGGTGTTAATGCTGGTTCCTAGATAGACGAAATTATCTACAGCTTTGTCGCGTACAGCCCGCAACAAAAACTTCTTTTGTGTTTGTTTGTTCCCTTCCTTTGTTTTGCCTAAGCATCCTTTCACTCCAAGCGTTGGCAGAGACATCTGTCGGCAAATAGTTGCATTATTTGAAGCCATGGATTAATGGCACACGGTTGCTTTCGGTGTGTGCCTACCCAGTGGTATAAGTCTCCAAAAGGAGGTGTTCTCCAAAACGGTTCCTCCACTAACAAATATTAGGGCAACGGAATGCTTTGCGCGGGAACTCCGTAAAAAGGGGTGTCGCCTTCTTCTTTAATGCGGTCCCTTTGGGTAATGGGGACGGCGCCAAATGATTGGGCACCAATACACACTCGCAGGAGAATTTTGAAGGCAGACGCGTAGCTTGCGGCCTGGCTCGTAAGTGCGTGCCGGATCAGATTCTTGCAATCTACAGAAGATTGCGAACTTCTTTTAAACGCAAGCGTGCGATTTACGAAAGAGCAAAAAAAAAAAAAAAAAAAAAATTGTGATTTTTTTTTTATAAATATAATAGCGTTTTGCCAGGCGAGTCAAGTGGTAGTGTAAGGGCAGTTGAAGCCTTATAAGAAGTAGTGACAGTTTTAAGCCAGTCGGGGCTTGTTTAAGGGCAGTCGAAGCCCAGTGCAAAATAGGTTTTCTTTTTTCTTCCAGTGGCGGAACCAGAGTTTGGCGTATCACTTCGTGTATTTATTGTTTGCGTACGTTTTGTCGTGCCGACTGTATCACCACCCTCGTTACGTCCTTGCCCATCCTTTTAGCATCCCGCACTCAGAGCCCAGTCATACAGGCGGGTTAAAGTTACCCCCGGCAGCACGGAAGTAGTGCGAGTGGGTTCGTAACCAGTTCGGTTGGACCACACCTCGGGTGCACCCAAAAACATATTTTGTTTTATTGTTCTGTAGCTTGACTTTGCTGTTAAATCTTTGTTGTCGTGCAATTTGTATATCCGCGTTAGCAAATTCACTTGGTGTTGTTTTTCTCCCGTTGGATTTTGTTAGTGTACTTAGCTGGTGACCCACGCCGTCTTCACTAAGCTGGCCGGTCGCTTTGTTGGTAGGCGCTTGACCAGCAGCCACTGTAGGTATACATATGTATGTACGTGTGTACATGCGCACCTACATAGTGTAATTACAAAAAGTGGATGTGACAGCTTCAAGTTATGACTATTAATGTGGGAGTCGAGTCAGGACTGCGATGACTGTTTGTTTGATGACAGGAGATATTTCGTCTTGTCCGCTTTCACTATCAGACCCATTCGCTTCGCTTCTTTATCAAGCATGGAGAAAGCAGATCTAACGTCGGCCGATAATGTCAATATCATCGGCGTACTCCAGTAGTTGTACACTCTTATAGAAGATTGTCTCTTCTCTATTTAGCTCTACAGCGCTTATTACTCACTGCAGCATTAAATTGAAGAAATCACAAGACAAATAGTCAGCCTGTCTGAAACCTCATTTGGTATCAAACGGCTCGAAAAGGTAGTTTTCAGTGTTCCATTCATAAATTCAATATAATCTGGGCATCAGTGGCTAGAGTGCCCCGGTCTTGAAACCTTCCGTTAGTCGTCTTTACTTCCAATAGAATTTTCGAGCATTACCCTTGTCGGCCAGCTTTTTAAGCTCTTCATACTTACGCATCTCAGCCTCTTTTTTTTATCAGGAGATGCGTCTTGCTTCCTTCTTCATCTCTCGCTATCTATCCCATCCCGCACATGTTGTGGTCGATCGCAAGGTTGCGAGGTATGCAGCCTGTTTTCTCTCCACTTCGACACGAAAGTCCTTCTCGTACCAGCTGTTCTTGCGACCTTTAGACAATCCAATAATTTTGTTTGTAGCTGTAAGTAAAGAGCTTAAAATGCCGTCCCACAGGTCTCGTATACCGAAATGCTGATGAGTGCTCTCAGATAACAGGAGTGCAAGTCGAGTAGAAAATTGTTCGGCAGTCTATTGTGAATGTAGTTTTTCAACGTCGACCTTTCCTTGTGTTAGTTGACAGGTATTCTACGATACACAGAGGTGCATGCGTATCTTCGCTGTAAAAAGATAATGGTCCAAATCGATGTTGGTTCTTTGTAGTGCACGCACGTCAAGAACACTGGAGACATGTCTTCCATTTATCACAACATGATCGATCTGATCTGATTTTATGACTTTTGATCAGGGGACAGCCGAGTAGTTTGATGTATTTTTTATGGTGGAATCTAGTATTACATACAACCCCGACGATGTCGATCAGTCTCAACCCATTAGGTGATGTTTCGTTGTGAAGGCTGAATTTTCCAACAGACCTTCCTTGGCCAAACTGGCATTAAAATCGCCAAGCACGATTTTCACTTCGTGTCGGGGGCAGTGCTCTTCGGCGCTCATAAAAGGCATCTTTGACCAAATCGTCCTTCTCTTCCGTCGGGGCGTAGGCGCAAATCACCGATATGTTGAAAAATTTCGCTTTGATGCGGATTGTGGCCAGACGCTGATCCACTAGGGTGAATTCCAGTACTCGACGACATTCCAGGTTCCAAGTCCAGCGCACAGTCTTGCTAGGCGAGTGTGCTTAAAGGTTTTTACACATTTATAAAGCGACCCGCTTGCTTTCCATCAAGCTTAGAACGATTTATTATTTAATTAAATGCGCAAAAAAGAAATCAGGTTGGAGTTAAAGCACTCTGGAGGTAGACCACCGAAACTTTCTAGATGCGATCATTAAAAAATTTTAAAGCAGATCAGTGATAATGGTCAAACTGCTCAAAGAAAAGTGGATTTAGATATTAAAAATTATTGCCATAAAACAGTAAGTCACGAAACATTCCTCGCAAAAAGCTAGAAAGAAACCATTATTGTCGTTTATTAATATTGAGAAGCGGCTCAATTTTTCTATTACCACTGTTTACAGGATACTAAATGCTGGGATGACGTTATTTTTTGCGACGAGGCAAAAATATTGTTATACTTTCATGATGAACCCAGTAAAGTTTGGAGAAGACCCAACAGATCTTTGCAACAGATAAATATAATTCCAACTGTAAAATTTGGTAAGCTTTATGTAATGGGTTGGTTACATTTCGTCGAAAGATGTTGGTGAGCTCCGAATTTTCAATGACGTGATGACGAAGGAGTTTTACTTCTAATCGGAGTGCGATAAGATTTGGATTTGTTGACCATGAAAACCCTAAAAAATTGAGGTACAAACTATACCAGGACAACGATAATTGCAGTAAAGTGATCGACCGCTGAAGCGATTATCGGCCGAGCTCCTCCTCCAGTTTGTGGTTTTGCTTTTTGTATGTAATATTGTAGAATGACTACGACAATAAGAAATCGAGCTACGATGGAGCAGCTAATACGAATGATGGTTTTTTTTCGCAGAAACGCCTGGTTTGCAAGGTTCCAGAAGCTTCATGGAAAATTGGAGTGCGATGGGAAGTGGAGCGAATTAACTATTACGCTGAATAGTCATGTAGGTGCTTTGATAAAAGTCGACCAATGGCTCACGGTATTCTCAAGTATATTAGCAGTAAGTATATTAGTAAAAGTTATAGAAAATCAATTTAAATAAAAAATTTTCTAAATGCGGTCGCTCCTAGGCAGGTAATGTCATCCCCTCCGAGAATGTTTCTGACATGAAATAAAGCTCCTCATAAAAAAAAAACCATCAGCCATTCGGAGGCGGCTTAGTATAAACAGCGAGTGCCTTCATTTGTTGGAAAAACATCAAGACGCAAAACCACAAATTGGAGGAGGAGCTAGCGTTGCGTACTGCCATTTCCTCCGTTTTATTAAAATGGAAATGTCCGTTGTCGATTATCGTATAAACTGAGTTAGAGAACCGCATAATAATTAGCGCCAGCGACAAAACTCGCAAGTTTGCGATCCGACAAATCGAGACGATAAAAGATATAGAATTGCACTACTGGTCGGCAATACACGCTAACTTGGAGTATGATTTAAAGAGAAATTTAGTGTCACCACATTAAATTTCAAATGAAAAATAATTCACATTAAAATAAGTAAAATTCTAGAGCAAATACTTATAATGATTAACTCAAACCAAAGTTTTGTAAATGTTGTACAAAATTAATCATTTTCAATTTTTATAATAAATTATTTTAGTTTTATTTTGGTAGCAACTTCAGAATCATGTTTAAACCAGCATATGTCATGCTAATTCATGCAGATGACAAAGATATGTTAGGGAAAATCAGTTCCATTGATAAATTGTACGTAGCCAGTGATATGTATAGGTAGTGAATAAAGAAGAGTAGCAGAGATAAGGTCAATGTAGGAAAGCGTGTATAATTGTTAAAAAAATACTCCAACAAAAATGTCTTCAAATCGTTCGAAAAAAAACTAATAAGTTTCGGTATGTTTTCGTCGGAGAACAGGAAAACGTAAGTCTCCCTATTTCATTCATTATTTCATTTACTATATCTATTCGTTTTATTCGTTCATTGCACTAAATAAAATATGTAAAAATAGGAACAAAGGAAAATGGGAAACATATTATTATATTTAGATTAGGTATGTTCTGAAATGTATTTTTTTTCAATAACTAATCTAATCTCTAAATCTTAATTTTTCAATTTGTTGAAATTTTTGTTATGTTGTTTGCTAGCTCAATAATAAATTTGTTAACTGGATTGAAATGCATAAAATTTGTAAAATGAATTATTAAAACAAATTTAAAGGTC